TGGCACGAATCTCTGACTTTCCTGCTGCTGAGATGCTGTCTGACAGTCTGTGCTTTTTCAGCTTCACATAAATTAGCATCACTTGGCTCTCGTTTCTCATTTCCTCTTGAGATTTTCTTTGGAGCTGGTCTAGATTTAATCCCTCTTTTTGGTACTGTCACTGCTTTTATTCAGGCTTGGCTGTTTGTTTCCTGAACATAAAGTGTTTGCTTTCTGTAATGCTTAAAATTTTTTTTTGTTCATTTGCGGGATGTGGGCGTCACTGGTTAGGCCAGCATTTATTGACCATCTCTAATTGCCCAGAGGGCAGTTTAGAGTTAACTACATTTTTGTGGGCCTGGAGTCACATGTAGGCCAGACCAGGTAAGGATGGCAGTTTCCATCCCTAAAGGACATCAGATAATTACCTGGGTCTCTGGATTAAGAGTCTGGATGCATATGTAAGGTTTAGGAAACAAGGAACGGAAAAGGCTCTAGAGGGATACACATTATCCAGGAAGGAGCTGAAGAAAGAGCTTAGAGCTAAAAGGGGGCATGAGAAAACCTTGGCAGGTAGGATCAAGGAAAACTCCAAGGCTTTTTACACTTACGTGAGGAATAAGAGAATGACCAGAGAAAGGGTAGGGCCGATCAAGGATTGTAAAGGGAATTTGTGCACAGAGCCTAAAGAGATAGGAGAGGTCCTTAATGAATACTTTTCTTTGGTATTCACAACTGAGAGGGACCTAGTTGTAGACGAGGACAGTGTGAAACAGGCTGGTAGGCTGGAGAAGGTCGATGTGAGTAAGGAAGATGTTCTAGGAATTTTGAGGAAGTTGAAGGTGGATAAATCCCCCGGGCCTGATGGATTTATCCAAGGATTTTATGGGAAGCGAGGGAAGAGATCTCAGGGCCTTTGATCTTTTCGTCCTCACTGTCCACGGGTATAGTGGGGGAGGATTGGAGAGAGGCAAACATCATTCCCTTGTTCAAAAAAGGGAATAGGGATAACCCTGGAAATTACAGGCCAGTTAGTCTTACATCAGTGGTGGGCAAATTATTGGAAGGGGCTCAGAGAGGATTTATGATCACTTGGAAAGGCACCGTTTGATTAGTGATAGTCAGCATGGATTTGAGGGGTAGATCATGCCTCACAAACCTGATTGATTGATTGAATTCTTAGAAGAGGTGACCAAACACGTGGATGAAGGTAGAGCAGTGGATGTGGTATACATGGATTGAAGTAAGGCGTTTGATAAGGTTCCCCATGGTAGGCTCATGCAGAAGGTAAGGAGGCATGGGATAGGGGGAAATGTGGCAGATTGGATTCAGAATTGGCTGACCTTAGAAGACAAAGGGTGGTAGTGGACGGAAAATATTCAACATGGTGCTCAGGTATGAGTGGTGTACCACAAGGATCTGTCCTGGGTCCTCTTCTATTTGTGATTTTTGTAAATGATTTGGATGAAGGACTGGAAGGGTGGATTAATAAGTTCGCGGATGATACGAAGGTGGGTCGTGTTGTCGACAGTGCAGAGGGCTGTTCTAGGTTACAAAGGGGCATTGATAGGATGCAGAGCTGGGCTGAGAAGTGGCATATGGAGTTTAACCCTGAAAAGCGTGAGGAGATTCATTTTGGAAGGACAAACTTGAAAGCAGAATACAAGGATAACGGAAAGATTCTTGGCAGTGTGGAGGAGCAGAGGGATCTTGGGGTTCATGTTCACAGTATCCTGAAAGCTGCCACCCAGGTGGATAGAGTTGTTAAGAAGGCGTATGGTGTGTTAGCTTTTATTAATAGAGGGATCGAGTTCAAGAGCCGTGAAGTTATGCTCCAGCTATACAAAAGCCTGGTTTGGCCACATTTGGAGTATTGTGTCCAGTTCTGGTTGCCTCATTACAGGAAAGATGTCGAGGCGTTGGAAAAGGTGCAGAGGAGATTTACCAGGATGTTGCCTGGAATGGAGGGAAGGCCTTACGATGAAAGGTTGAGAGCGCTACAGCTTTTCTCTTTAGAATGACGAAGGATGAGAGGTGACTTGATAGAGGTGTACAAAATGATCAGAGGTATGGATAGAGTGGACAGCCAGAGACTTTTTCCTAGGGTGGAGGTAGCTATTACGAGGGGGCATAGTTTTAAAGTGAGTGGAGGTAGATACAGGGGAGATGTCAGAGGTAGGTTCTTTACTCGGAGAGTGGTAGGGGCATGGAATGCATTGCCGGGTAGGGTAGTGGAGTCGGCTTCATTAGGAGCATTTAAGCGGCAATTAGATAGGCATATGGATGATAATATAAGGTAGGGGTGGAGGTTAGATAGACCTTAGGATTCGGGTAAAAGTTCGCCACAATATTGTGGGCCGAAGGGCCTGTACTGTGCTGTACTGTTCTATGCTCTATGTTCTAAAAGTCCAGCAATAATACCACTAGGCCGTCACTTGCCCCGCCGCAATCCAAGTGAAATGCAACTTTGTTCCTTAACCAGTGTTTCAAACTTGTCTAATGTTGTAGTTATGTGGAAATAATCTTGTGTAGCAGCTTCCAATTCATTAGACTTTACTGACGTTTGCATTATTAATAAAGCTTTAAGATATCTCTTAGATTCAACATACTTTGTCTACTGAAGATAATTGATCTGGTGTGCACTGTGTGTTTAATCCTTTTTTATATTTCTGCTTCCTCCTTTTTATAGTGTACTTGTAGGAAGGATATGGTGAAGATATCAATGGATGTATTTGTGCAGTTCCTTCAGCCTGATCGCTACGAGCTATGGAAAAACGGCAAAGACATTGTCACTATTGACCACAACAAGCCAACCGCTCTATCAAGTCCTGAGATGGATGACTGGCTGGAACGGAAAGCATCATTAAAGGCAAAAAGTATTAGAAGGTAATGGTTGTCCCTTGACTTCTTTTATATACTTTTAGAATTCGATGTGGTAAGGCAATAATTTTGCTCATTCTGTTTACCTCAAACAGATTTAATTTGAACTTCTTCACACCTCAGAGTTCATCCAATTGCTTTGGGCTCTGATGAAGTATTCAGGTAACTGTAGACTGATCTTCAATCCCTTAGCTTAAACAATCACAAGGATTGATGTTGGATTGAACAGCTCTCTGTAGTGTTACTGACACTACGTTCTAACATTTAAAAATTTATCACCAATTCTTATGTCAAACTTTGATCCTGACTTATAGGATATAATATGGCTTAGTCTTCCCAAATGAACCTTTTCCATTTTTACTCGCCATGAGTGAGGGACATCCATGAATCAATAGGGATGCTTGACTTCTTCAGGAATGCTTTAAGAAAATGTCTAAAGCCTTTCGGCTGTTTTCCTGGGAGGTTCCTGCCACAATCAGATTCTGAGGACAGACATTGCTTTGAAATCTGTTGTCAAGCATACAAATGGCATGGCCTTGGCTCGTCGGCCTGATATATTGCCTCAGTACCTGATTTGTTGGCTTGGGAGAGGACTCTGGTAAGGGGTAGGTTTCTCATTATTAGCTTAGAAGATCTAAAGTGAATTGGCAAGTTAGGCTAAAGGATAGGTCAGTTGAGATGCAGTGGCAGGCATTTAAGGCGGGTATTTCATAACACACTAATTACGTATATTCCCTAGAGTAAGAAAAATTATAAGGAACACACCGATCCCTGGTTAACTAGAAATGTTCAACTTTTCAAACATAAACAGAACCTGCAAAGACACATGGAAGTTCAGAAGATTAGACCATACAAATGACCAAAAAAAGAAGTGATGGAAGGAAAAGTTAAAGTACAAGAGAAAGCTAGCCAGCAGTATAAAAAGTGAACTTAAGTTTCCATATGTATTTAAAAGAAGTAGTAGTAACAACAAAATGAGTGTTTGTTCAAGAGCAGCTGTGCCTGGAGAATTACTAATGAATTACTAATAAAATATTGAGATGGTGGATGAACTGAGCAGATGTTTGACATTGTTTTTCACTGTAGAGAATACAAGTAATGCCCCAGAAATAGCAATGGATCACAAAATGGAAGGAAAGGAGGAATTCAGGAAAATTATAGTCATCAGATGTGCTACTGTGTAAATTTTTGGAGCTGTAGATTGACAAATGTCTAGGCCCTCAGGGTCCTCTTAAAATAAGTGGTTAATGAGATAGTTAATGCATTAGTTTTAATTTTCCAAAATTCCCTCTGTTTTGGAACATTCCATTAGATTGGAAGACAGCAAGCAGGAAACCATAGGACAGTTGGCTTAGCATCTTTCAAAGGGAAAATATTTGAAGATACTATTAAAGAAGTTATAGCAGTGTGCTTGGCTAAGTTCAAGCTAAAAAAGCAGTCAGTGTGGTTTTGTGAAAGGGAATTCACATTTAGCTAATACATTGCAGTTCTTTGAGGTGCTGTGGATTCACAACAGCCAGTGAATGTACTGTATTTAGATTTCCAAGACATTGGATAAGGTGGAATATCAAAGATTATTACAGAAAATAAATGTTCATTGTGTAGGGGACAGCCTATTGGCATGAAAAGACAATTGGCTGACTAACAGAAAGCCAATAGTAGGTATAAACAGTTCTTTTTTCAGGGTGTCAAGATGTAATAAATGGTGTCCCACAGGAATGGTTGCCTTGAATATAACTGTGTTTATAATCTGTACAATGAACTTGGGTGAAGAGTCGGAAGATACGTTTGCAAGATGACCGAACGAAATGTAGGAAAATGAGATGTGAAGAGGACATAATGAAGCTACAAAAAGACATCTTAAAAAAAAACGCAGGAGAATCTCAGGTCTAGCAACATCCGTGAAGAGAGAAACAGAGTTAAAGTTTTAAGTCCAATATGATTTCTTCAGAATTGAATTGGTGAAAGGCAGAGTCAGCACATGGCAGGCTTAATACATTTGCTGTTGCCATTGAAATAGTATGTTAATTCATGTTCACTGCATGGAGATCATATAGTACATTGGCCAAAAGACGCAAGATTGCTTAACTGCCATGTTTCTGCTAACATGATTTAGATCCACCAATAGGTGTACATAAGTAACATCAACCATTTAATGTATTTGCTTTGGTTCCTTCATGTTGTGGAAAGTTAGCTATCATCAATTTTTCTATAATAGCTATCAGCTATTCCAGTTATAAGGAAGAACTGTAGGAAAAGAGAGAGCCAGCCATGGATGTCTAACGAAATAAAGGAAAGTATCAGGTTGAAAAAAAAATACCAAAAAGCAATGAGTAGTGGGAAACTAGTAGACTGCGAAATCTTTAAAGGCCAACAGAAAGCCACAAAAAAGTTATAAAGAAAAGTAAGGTAGATTGAGAGTAAACTAGCTCAGACTATAAAAACAGGCATCAAAAGTTTCAACAAATATGTAAGTCGTAAAAGAGTGGCGAAGGTAAATATTGGTCCTTTAGAGGATGAGAGGGCTAATTTAATAACTGGGAATGAAGAAATAGCCGAGACATTAAACAGTTATTTTGTGTCGGTCTTCACAGTGGAAGACACAAATAACATGCTGAAAACTAATGGCAAGAAGGTTATAGCAGGTGAGGACCTAGAAACTATCATTATCACTAAGGAGGCAGTGCTAGGCAAGCTAATGGGGTTAAAGGTAGACAAGTCTCCTGGCCCTGACGAAATGTATCCCAGGGAACTGAAAGAGGTGATGGGGGAAATAGCAAATGCACTAGTAATTATTTACCAAAATTCACTGGACTCTGGGGTGGTTCCCGCAGATTGGAAAACAGCCAATGTGACGCCACTGTTTATAAAAATGGAAGTAGACAAAAAGCAGGTAACTATAGGCCAGTTAGCTTAACTTCGGTAATGGGGAAAATGCTTGAATCTATCATTAAGGAAGAAATAGCAAGACATCTGGATATAGATTGTCCCATTGGGAACACCCAGCATGGGCTCATGAAGGGTAGGTCATGTTTAACTAATTTAGTGGAATTCTTTGAGGACGTTACTTGCATGGTGGACAATGGGGAACCTGTGGATGTGGTATATCTGGATTTCCAGAAGGCATTTGTCAAGGTGCCACATCAAAGGCTGCTACATAAGATAAAGTTGCACGGTATTACAGGTCATGTATTGGCATGAATAGAGGATTGGTTGACCAGTAGAAAGCAAAGAGTAGGAGTAATTGGGTGTTTTTCTGGTTGGCGGTCAGTGGCTAGTGGTGTGCCTCAGGGATCAGTGTTGCGACCGCAATTGTTTACAATTTACACAGGTGATTTGGAGTTGGCGACTAAGTGTGGTGTGTCAAAATTTGCAGATGACGCTAAGCTGAGTGGTAGAGCAAAGTGTGCAGAAGATACTGAAAGCCTGCAGAGGGATATAGATAGTCTAAGTGAGTGGGCAAAGGCAGATGGACTACAATGTTGATAAGTGTGAGGTTATCCATTTTGGTAGGGATAACAGGAAAATGGACTATGTTTTAAATGGTAAAAAATTGCAGCACGCTGCTGTGCAGAGGGACTTGGGTGTCCTTGTGCATGAATCGCTAAAAGTAGGATTGCAGGTGCAGCAGGTAATTAAAAAGGCAAATGGAATTTTGTCTGTCATTGGCGGAGGGATGGAATGTAAAAACAGGGAGGCTATGCTGCAGCTGTATAGGGTCCTGGTGAGGCCACACCTGGAGTACTGTGTGCAGTCTTGGTCTCCTTACTTGAGAAGAGATATACTAGCACTGGAGGGGGTGCAGAGGAGATTCACTCGGTTGATTCCAGAGTTGAGAGGGTTGGATTATGGTGAGAGACTGAGTAGACTGGGATTATACTCACTGGAATTCAGAAGAATGAGGGGAGATTTTATAGAAACATATAAGATTATGAAGGGAATAGATAAGGTGGAGGCAGGGAGGTTGTTTCCGCTAGCAGGTGAAACTAGGACTAGAGGGCATTGCCTCAAAATAAAGGGAAGCAGATATAGGACTGAGGTCAGGAGGAACTTCTTCACCCAAAGGGTTGTGAATCTGTGGAATTCCCTGCCCAGTGAAGCGGTTGAAGCTACCTTGCTAAATGTTTTTAAGGCAAGGCTAGATAAATTTTTGAACAGTAAAGGAATTAAGGGTTATGGTGAGTGGGCGGGTAAGTGGAGCTGAGTCTCAAAAAGATCAGCCATGATCTTATTAAATGGCTGGGCAGGCTCGAGGGGCCAAATGGCCTACTCCTGCTCCTCGTTCTTATGTTCTTATCTGTCTACTCACGGGCCTGTATGGCAATAGTGTGGCTCAGATCATGTATTCATGTGGAGTATTGCAAGTATCGACTAGATTCCTGCAAGGTAGTGGAAGATTGTCAAGATGCTGTGCAAACACCCCTGCAGTCAATTCCAAAATTTTTTTTTAACATATTGACTATAACCCCAATATGACCTGCACTTGTATTTCATAGCACAGTTGCTTTTGCCGTCAAATTGAGTTTATTATCCTCAAGTTATTGGTTATAATTGATTGAGTGGCTAACTCAGATGAATTTGCAAAATAATTTTCCCTTTAACTACGGGTGAAAAATCCCATCTCGGTGAAAATAGATTTATTTCATTAGGATAACCAATTGAGCCATGCTTGTAAGAGATATTTCCTTATGTAAATTAGGTTTGCCTTTGGCTGAAATGTTGCTAGACTATCAATACATGCATCATACATTTAATGTAAGAAATCTTGAATAGCATTTACTGTAGTGGACAAGTAAACAACCTTTGCCCTCTCTATTAAGTCTCTTTTGACCTATTGCATTGGAAGCTGATGTCTGTTAGAGATCCCATCAGTGCAACTGCACAGCCTCTTAAACCCTTAAGCAACTCTTTCCCCTCAACCCCGTTGAGATTTAAGTATTGTTAATGAGGAATGCGACCTTAAAGGGAAGCATATTTTGGAATTTATATATTCAGTATCAAATCTGGTACAGAAAATGACGTAATTGAATTTAGAAGAAGGAGGCATGGAGTTTTAAACTATTCGAAATCTGAGCAGATAAAACTGCATAATTATAAAAGTTGATTTCATTTTCAGATCAAGTATTTTGAAGTAAGTGTGATTTATCGTGTTTTTTTAAAACATGTGCATAAACACATGCTGTACCTTTCTGTGGCAGTTTAGTCCATAACTACCATACAAGTACAGTAATTCATATTGTGCAATATATTTGAATGAGGTGCCAGAGAGTGAGTTGCTTTTATTGTGCATCTTTCGGATCAGTGGTACAGCATCTGAATTTTTATGAATAACTATGCATCTGTGAGCACTTGTAGTTAGAGTTTAATCTGCACGTAATAATAACTAGTAACATTAACTTAACCACTTTTACAATAAATTTTGGCCCAATATCTCCAGTAAAAGATATTCTACTAATTATGTGAAGCAGTGGAACATTATGATAGAAATTAGCACTTCTAAATATCAGATACGGTATTCAGACATTTCTTGAGCCTCGTATGCCTTCATGTAACATTAACAGTGGCCTTATTTGGTACCTGTCTTATTTGGTGAAAGAAATCTGTCAATAATATACTCCGAGAAGAGCTCACAGCAGAATGGTAGGTGCCATATCGTTGCAACTACACACTTAGACCATTTCAATTATGATGTGGTCAAGACTAAATCCAAAAAGTTACAGGTAGCAGCATGGATGTAATAATAGTTTGGGGTGCATGAAATAGACCCCATGGGACAATTGTTTTATGAGAAAATAATATTGGGGTGCAAGAATAGAATATAAATATGAATGTTCCATGTGGTGATGGATAGGTAATGAGTTCCTTATCTCACTGTACATCCTTAATGCAATGCAGCTGTACAGTGGGATAGATCATCTCTTGGAATCAACATTGTAGAGTGCAGCTTGCATTTATAAGTTATTTAAAATGAGTACTGCGTGTGAAGGAAGTGAAAAGGTTGTAAGTAGAGTCATAGATGCCTTTTTGTTCAGCTTCATTAATAAAGGTGCAACTTGAATTGTCATCAGAACAGACACGGGCTGTTACACCATCAAATTAAGCTGCTATTTGTCACGACCTGATTAATTTGGTCAATCCTGCTTCTCACTCCACTTCTCTTTAATTGCTTGGAAAAGAGGAATGTCATAGAACTAATTTTAAATGACTTACTTTGACAAGTTGATTTACTTGTGCTTTAATGAGAGTTTATCGCAATACTTTACACAATGTTCCCCGAACTTGTGAAGAATCTTTTTCTAGACTCCTGTTGTGTTCTTTTTGAGATTACTTCAACTTTGTGCCATCTCATTAAGCTTTCACGAGCCAGTGAAAATGTATTTATTGCTTTCTTTTACCATCATGATCCTTCCAAACCTTGAAGAGGTTCAGCAAGTGACTCTTCCATCGTGTGAACAGTACTGAAGAGAGACTTCTCAAATATCTTTTCAGTAAACCCAAAATTGTAAGTTGTATTATTGTATAAATGCTTAATTAGGGTGCTCTAGCTGTTCAGTGGAGACAGTTTCTTAATTTTGCTTTGTAATTTACTTCCCTATCCTCCCCCTTCCCTAAACATGTACTGCAGATCCCATCGGCGAAGAACCCAGACCAGGAGGCAGAAAACAGAAGACCAAAGAATACTGAGTGAACCAGCTGCTGAAGAAACTCCTGGAAAAGATGTGACAGAAGATGACACCAAAATCAAAGAGGAACACAAAAGAACAATGGACACAGAAGAGCACAGCAAACCCAGCAAAGTTACAATCTTGGAGCTAGACCAAGGTGACTTCACAGATGATTTATTTAATCACCATTTTTCAGGTATGTGTATGAGGCCGCTATTAGATGCTTGTATGTTAGTGAATTCACATGTTTTTCTCAGTAATGTTGTATGGAATGGAATAAGGCGCAGTGGTAGAGTTACCTGAAGAAAGGATATACCTATGATTTCAAAGTGCATATGTGCGCGTTTTGGTTCACTTTCCCCACCATCTACTTTCCCCTTACCAAAAAGATCTTGCTCCATTTTCAACTCTGCTACACTGAATCCTTAAGTACATCTCCCAGAGGAATTAATACACATTATAACTTGAAATCTAATAATGTCAAAACATAACATCATTGTTTTTCTTTTCTTCAGGAAAGCTTTTAGCCCGTCAACATGAAGAAGGTCAATGTTGTAGATTCAAATTTTTTTTTAAGCCATATGTCAGCAACTACCATTCTTGTGTTGAGTACACCTCAGATTATCTGCAAGATACTCTGCTATTCTTCAATAAAGGCTTCTCATTCCACTTGAGACCATTTCTACTAGACTCATACATCTTAATTTTTTTTCTGAATTTCCAGGAAATTTTGAATTAGCAGTAACTCAAAGGCAATCTTTGTGTTGTCTCAAGCATTATTAAATCTAGGTATTGGATTTGTGTACCTACTCATTTCACTTAGTGCCTAGTAATGATAGTCTTCAAAGCTTGTTTACCACCTACCAGGCACAAGTAAGGAGCGCAATGGAATACTCTTCACTTATCTGGATGAGTACAGCTCCACAGTGCTCAAGGTTATCCAGGAGAATAGCAGCCTGATAGATTGGTACCCCAACCACAAGTTTGAATATTCACTCCTTCCATCTTTGAACTTCACTGGTAGTCCTGTGCAGCATTAACCCTGTATGCTGCAGCAAAACATCAAGATTCCTTCGACAGTACTTTGCGTCTGGACATCTAGCATCTGGAATGAAAAAGGCAGCTGATCCTTGGGCTGAGCACCACCTGCAAGTTCCCTTCCGAGTATCATGATTAAAAATTACTGCCGCTGGGTTAAAATGCTGAAACTCCCTCCCTAACAATACTATGGGTGAAGCTGTAACAGTATGAAAACACTACCCACCATGCCTGTGCATGAGGAATTAGGAATGGGCAATATCTGCTTGTTTAGCCAGTGATGCCCACATCCCCTGACTAATAAATATTTTAAAAACATTTTACAAAAAGAGACTCTCACATTTTCATTCCTATCAGTTTGGGTTAAACTTAACCTAGTCTCAACTGTTCAGGCACTGGACAGCATATAACAAAATGTTCTTAAATTCTAAGCTTTAACAAACTTAAAAATGTGAAAGCTTTAAAGTAGGAAGTCTGCAATGCTGTCCATTTGGTGCATCAAAGAATTGTCAGATAATGTTTGAATCCAGCCCCCATTCCCAACTTCTAGATTCTCCTTAAAGCAAAGATTAAAGCAAAAAAGCCTCAGAAATCTGTTATTTGTTGTGTTTAGAAAGAAATCTCAAAGCATAGTTCAAAATTACACAGTTAACATTTTCAGCTTGGAATTTTATTAACATTCTTGTTTTTAGGTGCAATATAATTTGCACTTGAGTGTCTGTGGTCTGATATTTCTAGGCTTACTGAACTCAAATAATGTTATTCTAATATTTTGTCACATGTTCCAAACTCATTGGCATCTGGTAAACCACCTTGAAACTTGAATTCAGAGACTTGAGACAGCATTTACACCACCCTTATTTAAGGACATTGTCATGACATTAAGTAGAATTGTTCACTTTTTTCCAAGAAATATGATTTTAAATTGAGTGGCCTCTTGAGAACTGTTTCTAAGTATTAATGCCCCAACCATTAAATATGCCCTTCACAACGGTGGTTGAAGTCTGTCACTTGTTTATTTTATTGGATGCAGTGAGATGTAATGAATTGTAATAGATCTAAATGACCTTACCCTTAACGAGTAGGGTATTCTGATCAAAATACAGTGTAACCTTTATTACCTACACTTCAGTGCTAGAACTTTTTGGGACAAAGATCAATGACAATTTTTTCTTTCATATTATAAATAAACAAACAGCTATGTTGTTTCTTTTGCAGCTGCTGTAAATAGGACATTACTGTATAATGCGTGAGACGAAATCTGAGAAATGTTCATTTTCCAGTTGCATTCTTGGAGGGAAGTCTTGGATGTGTTATATCCAAGACCAGATTCTGCATTCCTGTTGTCATTGTCCCAAGCCCTAGGCCTGTTCGATGTCAGAGACCACAATTGGAAATATGCACTTTTTGATTCTAATTGATCTTGGACTGGCTCAGAATGTCATTTATTTGCCACATTATCTGATGGGTAATTTTCTTACTTATGTGCCTTTGCTCTTGAAAATTGATACCTACTTTCCCTTTCTGTAGGTTACTTCAGTCTCATTGCTTGAGCTTTCATAAATGTAACTCAACTGTAGGCATATAACTTACTGAACATAGAACACGGAACATTCTACTCCATTGAACAGCTGCATTAACTGTGTTTGTTCTTTGGAGTTGATGGACAGAGACTGTGCAACACTTTAGTAATCCTTCAATTGATAAACTTGCATGAGTGCGCTGGCAGTGAAAGAATTTTGAAGAAAATTCATTAAGTTGTTATGCCAGGAAAAAGTGTATCTGCGTTAATACGCATATAAACAAAGTGAAGTTATTTTTAATAGGTTTGCTGTTTCAAATTATTTGGCAAACCACCATTTGAGCACACTGTTCCATGGGTGAATGTTTTACTGCAGATTGCCAGGAAATTGTCAGGCATTAGAAATTCTCCTTTTGAAGTTGATTCATTATTGTAGATCTCTTGTCCCGTATTTTTAGTATCTCAATCGATATTTTTGAAAAATTCACATGGCTCAGCCTTTTTCTCTTCATCTGGAATTTCTTTCATGGTTCAGTTTCCCACAATTCTTGGTCAAGGACTTTGTCCACTGTACGCTTGTATATACTGAGCACTCGCATAGCTATCTGGAATTGGGTGATTGGAGAAAGTCTTACTGAGAAATTCCAGTGGGGATTGGAATGGTAGATTGATCTGGTAGAAAAGTTCCATATGACAATAATTAATACAAGAGTAATTACCTTACTTAAAACCACCTTATGCTATGAGATTTCTTTTTAAACCATTCAGCTGTACATATGGTAAGGCAAGTAAATTGTTAAATTTACACACTGCCTTTCATAACCTTAGGATATTCCAAGATGCTTTTTTGCCAGTATAAAAAATGCAGTTGCCAATTTACGGATTGTAATGACCAAATGCTATACTCAAATACTGGCTAGTAGTTCAGGCTGTCCTGTTCTCTTCATTAAAATAAGGGTTAAGCTCTTGTCATCTCAGTAGGATAGGAAAGCGAGGGCTGTTTTAACAGCTCGTTCAAAGAACAGAAGTTTTAACAATGCAGTATTCCTTCAATACAACACTGGAATGTTAGACTATAGATTTAGGTGCCTAATTCTCTAAAGTGTGACTTGAACCCGTGACCTTCTGTTCGTGTAATAGAGCCCTGACACTGAACAACAGCCAACCTCTAAGATAAATTGCTTGATTTTTCCTTCTCTGTAGAGCAATTTTGCATCAGCATATTTCTACTGTCTGTCATTTTTGATTGCATACTATTATAGAGACTATCCTACAAGGAGATCTTAGAAAGTCTGTTTCTTTTCTCTTTCTGTGAACAGCTAATGGCAAGCCACTGAAAACATATTCACGTTCCTCTAAATCCAAAAGTGACAAGAAAAAGAAACGTGTGGAAACAGACACCATAGCAGCAATCTCAACTGACGGTACTGAACCTACTGAACCATCCAAAGCAGAATCATCCCAGGCAGATTCTCCATCTGCATCAGCAAGTATGCAATCAGACAGTTTTACTGCTGAAGATGAATTTAAACCCAGAGCTAAAGCTACCATGATGTATGTGCTACCTAAATCAAAGAAGGTGGTGTTCGACAAGGAGCACATGTCCTGTCAGCAGGCTTTTGAGCAGTTTGCCACCAGGAACAAACTACCAATGTGGAAGGAATCAGAGATGAGCAATGACGGAGTAACCATGGAGGAGGAGGCGAGTGACCATGAAAGTGTGGATGTCAGTTTTGAAACTACTGAAGTGCAGGTACGGCATTGACAATGAATTTCTTTAATGGGTTTATATTCGATTATTCTACTGTGATAAGAAACATCTATACTACTCACAATAATAGCATGTATCCAGGCATTGTCAATCATTAAGAGGATGAAGTTCAATTTAATACCCTCCTAGCTATGAAAAACACAGACAAAACTCATAAGAATTTAAGAGAATGACTGACTACCATTTTTATTTGTATAGATGTGCTGCCAGACTGCCACTGTTTTTATATTCAGAGCTGTTGTGACTGTGTTCTATTTTTACACTGAATGTTGTTTTGAAGGCTGGAAATCTTCATTTTATCAAGGTAGAAACAATTAATCCTCTCAACACCGAAGTTTCTATAACAATTGATGCACTGCAAAGCTACCAAGGTGTCTCAGTAAGCGAATGTGTGAATCGTCTGTTTTTGAACAGTAATAAACCAGACGATTCTGGATAATACGACGAGGTCTTGAAGAAGGAAATGGTCATGAATAGCAGAGACAATATAATCTTGAACAAACTGTTTGAGTATGGGATTTTCTTTCCTAGTCATTTTGTTTTTTAAGCTGGACAAAACTATTGTGGTTTCAGTTTAGAACTGAGGGGTGTGCTGCAGTTTTTAACTGAATGTTTCTCCAGTTGTAGGTTTTAACTGAGACCTGTTTGCTCTGGTGGTTTGGATGGGCAGTGGTTAACCCTGTGACACTATGTACAAACACTGTGAGGAGCATTATATGTACCTAGACCAGCAAGGAGGCAATGCTGTGTTTCAGAGATAGTAGGAACTGCAGATGCTGGAGAATCTGACACAACAACAAGGTATATAGCTGGATGAACACAGCAGGCCAAGCAGCATCAGAGGAGCAGGAAAGCTGGCGTTTCGGGCCTAGACCCTTCTTCAGAAATGGGGGAGGGGAAGGGGGTTCTGAAATAAATAGGGAGAGAGGGGGAAGGCGGATAGAAGATGGATAGAGGAGAAGATAGGTGGAGAGGAAACAGACAGGTTAAAGAGGCGGGGATGGAGCCAATAAAGGTGAGTGTAGCTGGGGAGTTAGGGAGGGGATAGGTCAGTCCAGGGAGGACGGACAGGTCAAGGGGGCTAACTCCCCTCCTACACTCACCTTTACTGGCTCCATCCCTGCCTCTTTGACCTGCCTGTCTCCTCTCCACCTATCTTCTCCTCTATCCATCTTCTATCCGCCTCCCCCTGTCTCCCTATTTATTTCAGAACCCCCTTCCCCTCCCCCATTTCTGAAGAAGGGTCTAGGCCCGAAACGTCAGCTTTCCTGCTCCTCTGATGCTGCTTGGCCTGCTGTGTTCATCCAGCTGTACACCTTGTTATCTCCGGCAATTCTGTGTTCCTTCCCTTGTCTGAAGGAATCCAAAACTAATAAAGCAGCAGTCCCTCAACTCTCAATCCGTTATTCTAAAAACAAGACGCCTACCGACTGGACCAAACTAATGAGTATGGGGCTTGCTGTTTATTCATTTTCATCTGCCCTTAAAAAAAAAAATGCCAAAAGGATTACATAATCTGTCCCTTAACATATTCTCTCCCTTTGATTCACTGTTGCTGGCAAATCCTTTTACTGAATGAGTCCTCTTCCCTTAATCTTCCACATTTGACTTTTTTAAAGAAAAACCCAGACCTTTAAAACTCCTCACTCTGAACTTATGTCTATCCTTGCTGTTTTTACTTTATTTTGGTGTTTTTATACACACACACGCGCGCACATATTTCCTATTTAAATGAAAGTTACCTTCTACATGCCTCTTCTACAAAAACAAACCACAGCTACGTTGATGTCTGATTTATTTACTACTTTGAGTATAGTTTCAAAATCATGAGCAGTAATTTTAGGACTAATATCTGGAAACACATTCTCACACAGTATGAACATTGTAAAAAATAAATTTCAGGACAAACCACTGAAAAACCAATTACTAACTAGAATCAATCAAGAAACGCTTGAGTCTTGCTGTGGAGGAGTTTAGAATCATTCTGAACAGATGAGTGGCTGAATTGCCTTCCTCATTCATTGCTACTTTGTCATTTTTTCTGAAAGCTGATTTACCAAAACATACCTACAGTTATGGGTGTTTCAGAATAAAACTTCAATATAGATATGTAAACTTTTAAAATTTAAGATGTTAATCTGGGTATTTTTCCTAAATAAACCTAGCATGCTGTTTATTTTAAGTTAGGGCAGAAATAGTTGGATGCAAAATTGGTTCGGTGATAGTCCTCACGTTTCTTTGACTGAAAAGTTATTTTCAGAGGAATTCTACAGGGCTAAGCATGAGATCCCTTGCTGTTCATGTATCTCACAAGCTCCAAATTAAATATAGAGGGCATGATTAAGAAGCTTACAGATAATGTAGAAATTGCTGTGCCTGTAGACTGTAGGCAGATATGAGTGATTGCTCTGGTGAGAAGAAAAGTAGCAAATGGAATTCAGTTTGAAGAAGTGTGTAATGCATTGGGAAGGTGTATAAGGAAAGGGAATTCGTAGCAAATGAGAGAATACTGTGATGGCGTGCTGCAAAAAGCCTGTTTTTTTTTTATTATTTGGAATGTTTTTTCAAGAAAGTCGGAGTATTCTGAAGGAGGGTTCATTGGTTTTCCAATTACGACATCATTAGGTTTCAGGAAGTGCCCTTGTGACCTGAAGTTGCCATGGTGATGAACAGGCAAAAAGTGAAGAGTAAAACGAGAGCTAATTGCAGTGGTGTTATTTTCGGCCTGTTTCTGTAGCAGATGATTAACAATGCATTCAAAATTAATGTAAGGAGGAAGCAAACAAGGTCTCTGAATGGAACAATTTTCTGGTTGACAGTCTTTAAACAGATGCTGATGTTGAAGTACGTCTATGAAAATAAAGAAACTGTTATAGGTTTCATGCAGTTTGAAAGAGCAGATACCTGAAGACAGGAAGAACAAGGGATTGTGGGTTGGACAAGACCCATTGCAACTGTTTGTGTTGCCATAACCTACCAGAGTGTTTCGAGGTTAGAAAAGGAGTCTTTGGAGATTCTGTACTATCAGGACTACTGTGGTGTGAAAGAGGATTTGGAGATTTGTGTCTTGCGAGTAATAACCTTGGCTGGGACATTTGATAGGCTGCAGGTCAATGTTTGAATTTTATACATTTTAGTTTGTTTGCTGCAATAAAATTTTTAGAAGTGAAATGCTGTCCTGCAATTTTCTTTGTTGGGGTCATGGACATTCATTTGTTTTCTTTGGAAGAAAATTATCATACATTGTACTGTTCTAACAAGAAAAGGTTGTGTTCGGTGATGAAGAAGGATTACAGAATACTTTCTTTTGTTAGATGAGGCATAGAGTAAAGGAACCAGGGAATAAAATGGTTATAGCATAGGAGTTCAATCTTGCTAGCCAAGTTTGACCAAATTGATCACAGTCAACCAGCCTGGTTTAAAATTGAAATGAAACTTGGCAATTAGCTGATAATAATCTAAGTGATGACTTTACAATGATAATACCTTTACCAACAGAGTCTACTTGACAATCAGCACTCTTTCCTCTCCCCACGTCAAATACAGTATAAATGTGGTTTTCCTCTTATGTTGGTATTTTTTGTGAATTGTCCTGATGACTGCAAAACAAAATGCTTTGACAAAATGTGTCCTTGCTCAGCAATCTTTTTATTTATTCGTTTGCAGGATGTGGACATCATTGGCTAGGCCCCAGTGGTTCTTGAGAAGTTGTTAGTGAGCCACCACTTTGAATCACAGCAATCCATTTGGAATAGGTACACCTAGTGTGTTATTATGGAATGGGTTCTTGGATTTTTAACAAGCAACAATGAAAGGATGGTGATATCATTCAAATCAGAGGGGAAGCTTGCACATAGTGGTCCTTTTTCTACCAAGTGATCGAGTCTCAGGTTTTGATATGTATTGACAAAGGAATTTCTGGTCAACGATAAGCTCCCCACAATGTTGTTTGACAAAGTCAGGAATTGTAAGGCCGATTTAAATATCAAGAGGAGAGTGTTAGATTCTCTTTTTTTGGCGGTGGTCATTGCCTGGCACGTATGTGGCACATATTGTTTGCCATTTATCAGCCCAAACCGGAATTTTAGCCACATCACTGAAAGAAATTTGTGATCCAGGAAGCTTTTTATGACAACAGTTTCATGGTCACCATTACTGAAGCTAATCAATTCAAGACTTATTAATTGACTCCTAATTCCATCACCTGCCCGTGAGATTTGAGCCCCATGTCACCAGGACATGGATGAGCAGGTATTTGGTATCCCTTTTCACTATAGAGTAACATGTAACATCCCAGAAGCAACAATAAATTGTGAAATGAAAGAGAAGGAACTCGGAAAAATTGTGATCACCAGAGTAGTGATGCTGAGTAAGTTGTTGGAGCTGCGGGCTGTCAAGTGCCTATGCACTGATAGGCTTCATGCTAATATATTGAGGAAGTTACTAATATCTTGATTTGGGGATGGTTCCATTAGATTGGAAGATAGTGAATGTAACTCCTTTATTCAAAGAGGGAGGCGGACAGAAAGCAGGAAACTACAGGCCAGTTGGCTCAACATCTATCATAGGATAACTTTTAGGAGACATTATTAAAGATATTTTAGCAAAATACTTGGACAAGCTCAAGGTAATCGGGCAGAGTTAGCATGGCTTTGTGAAAGGGAAATAATGCTTGACCAATCTATTAGAGCTTTTTGAGATGATAATGTGTTGTAGCTTAAGGGGAATCATTGGAGATGCCACACTTGGATTTCCGGAAGGCATTTGACAAAGTGCCGCATTAAACATGATTGTAGAAAATAAGTGCTCATGGTGTAAGGTTTAGCACATTAGCTTAAGAATAAGATTGACTGGCTAATAAGAAACAGAGTAGGTGTAAAAGGGACTTTTTCAGGTTTGCAAGGTGGAACGAGTGGTGTGCCACAGGCATGTGTGTTGGGACAGCAACCGTTTACAATTTATATGATGATTTGGATGACTGAACAAAGGGGGTTACCAAATTTTCTGATGAGACAAAGATAAGTAAGAAAAGTTGTGAAGAGGTCACAAAATCATAAACTTGTATTGACAGCTTTAGTCAATGGGCAAAGATGAATGATGTAAGAACTGTGAAGTTGCCTATTTTTGCAGGAAGAATTTTTTTAAAAAGCATGTTATTTAAGTAGTGAGAGATTGCAGAGCTCTAAGATGCAGCAGGATCAGGGTAACCTTTTGCATGAATTGCAAAAGATTAGTATGCAGGTATGGCGAGTAATTAGGAAAGCTAATTTGAAACCATTCATCATCAAGGGAATTGAACACAAAAGTATGAAGGCCATGTTTCTGTTATACAGGGCACTGAAGAAACCACATTTGGCATACTGTACACAGTTATTGGTTACCTTCTTTAAGGAAAAACATAAATCCTTTGGAGGCAGCTCAGAAGGTTTATTAAACTAATATCTGGAATGGGCAGATTCTTTTGGCATTTAGATGAGTAAGAGTTGACTTTATTGGAACAAAATCCTGAAAGGTCTTGGTGCAGTAGATGTAGAGATGTGGATTATGAGAATCTAGGCCAAGGTGATTGTTAACATCAGGGTTTGTCCAGCTAAAACAGTAGTTAAGTGAAATCTTTTTTTCCTCTGAGGGTCATGAGTCTACGGAACTCTTTCCCTGTAAAGGTGGTGAAAGCTAAGTCCAGTAATATTTTTTATCACAGATGAATAGATGCTTAATAAGCAAACAGTTGAAAGGTTATCAGGCTAGGTGAGAATTGAAGTTATAATCAGATCAGCCATGATGGAATAGGCTCAAGGGGCTTCTGACTCACCTTGTCCATATATTGAGCATTAGCCTGGGCCTTTGGGTTACTTATCCACTGATGTTGCCACTTTGCTATCACCTCCCCCTTAATAACGAATGTAATCTAGGTAACTGAACTTCCTTATCCCTGGAATTTTTCTTGTCTGTCTGTTTTGCACCTCTCTAATGCCTTCATATTCTTCCGAAAATGTGCCCTGACGCAAGACTAATACTTTAAATTATTGTTTTATGTAAGTTTAGTATAATCTCTAGGTTTTTGTGCTCTAAATCTCTACTGATTAAACTCTGGATAATATATGCTTTATTAACCACACTCCTAACCTGATAGGTCACCTGTAATGATCTTTACACGTGCACTCAGGCCCTTCTGTTCCTACATGTCCTTTAGAACTGTTTCTTTTACTTTGTATTAACTTTCTGCATTCTGCCAAAATTAATCACTTCACACTTCTCTGACTAAATTTCATGTGCCACTTGTCCATCCCTTTTGTCACTTTCTAGTGATGTAACCTTCAGGCTATAGGCTAAGAGTTGATAAGTAGGACTACACTGGGTAGCATTTTTCAGCTGGTAGAGGATGGAACTTATTGCATCCTTTTATTTTCAAATTTGTTCACTGGGCATTGTTGACACGGCCAATATTAATTGCCTGTCCCTAATTTCCCGTGCTGGTAAGAGTCAATGACATTGCTGTGGGTCTGGAGTTACAAGTATGTGAGATCAGGTAAGAACAGCGGATTTTTATTCCTAAAAGGCATTTGTGAACTAGTATGGTTTGAAACTTGCCATAGTTGCCATTAAGCTAGTTTTATATTTGTATTTCTATCTCTGTTTAATGAATTCCAGATTCCATCAGCTGCAGTGGTAGGTTTCAAATCCTTGTCATAGGAATAGTAATCTGGGGTTCTAAATTGCTAATTGAGCGATATTGCCTCTATGTCACCACAAAACCGCATGCCACCCCCCACCCCCACCCACATGTTCGCTGTTGTAGGTATTTATGTCTCTGAAAGAATTCGATAGCATGATAAAGTTACAACCCTAGATCTTTGCTGTGCTTTCTAATATCCAGTACATGTTGTGCTGAACACACATTCCTGTTGTAAAATGAGGTGCAAGTTCAGTGGTCAATATCTATATAGGCATAATAAAAGCTGGAAATGCTGTAGTCTGGCAACATCTATGGAGAGAGAAGCAAATGTAATGTTTTAGATTGATGAGCATTCATCAGAACTGTCCTTTTGAAATGAAAATGTACGGCCGTAACCTTTCGGGATGAACTGAACCTGGTGCTTTCTAGTGACGTGCATAATCCTATTTGAATTCCAATTTATGGTGACCGGTTTAAGGTACAGAATAATCTAATGGTCTTTGGGACTGCACGTCACTATAATGACTGTGCTGTCTATTGTCTTCTGATTTTAACTTCTGTTTATAAGTTTTATCTTTTGTGCCTTACACACACGATTTATAATAATCAAAGTTTACACTTGTTTAGAAGCCTAAATTTCAATACTTTGTTCAGATGTATTTGTACTAGAAACGTAGTGGAATCAATCTATCTGGCATGGCTGAGTATGGCCTTGGGAAAAAGCAAAAACTGCAATACAACACTTGTCAGTTACTATTTTAGCAATAGTTTAAATTAAGACTTTTTGCATTAATACCAGTAAATGAAGGCCATTTATAAATATCAATGGATGTTTTAAATCGATCAACTTTGGAACTGATATTTGCATGAAAGAAAAGTGTTGAAGATCATTGGTTAACGTAGCTGCCAGAATAGCTCAGTGACTAAATACACAGCTTACTACGATAGTGACCAGAATGGTCCTGGATAAAGCTGCTGACATAAGTCAGTGCGTTTACAATCAGGTGCACAACATTCGGTTTTGGATCCCCATCCCACTTTTTGTTCAGGAAGCATTTGGGAAAATGAATGTATGAACACTGAGCTAAAAAAGGGCATGTGTTGTCAAATCATGTCACACTGTCTAGGTTCACATGAGAACGTCTGCCTCAATTGTATCTATCTTAATACAGCATATGACCTTTTACAGTGTGGCTCTGTGCTTTGTTACTTAGTTAACCATTGAGCAGAAATCTAGGCATTTTAATTGCCCCATATTCTGTAATTTTTCTGCCTGAGTTTGATTGTGTTTTACAGGTGCCCCCAGATTATCCAAAGTTGAAGAAGGAGATCACAAAGAGTCGGCGCCATCCCTTCAGCAAGCCCCCAGCTAGGTCTCCATTGTCTGTTGTCAAACTGGAAACATCCAGTGATGAGGGTAGGTGAATTGCTTCTGGCTCTCTTCCAAGGGAATAAGAATTTCAACACGAGCTTTTTAACATGCTGTACTCAATTAGAAAGTGTTACCATGAAACTGAAGCTTGCATGCTGTTTTATCTTGAAAACCCAAGGTAAATAACCATCGGCTATGGTGCAAAGCAATAGTAAAGCTAGTTCAGTAACAGAAAAACACAAGGTCATTTAGAGAGTGATTTTAAAAATTGGCAAAGATTGAAGTAGAGGAGGTGACTGTGTGAAGAGACTCAATAACATTTGATACATCTTCAGGGGATTTCAGTTTTTTCACAACCATTTAATTACTTTTGCAATACACATGCTGCTGTTTTTTAGATAAATGAAACTGCTAATTTGGGCACGGCTAGGTCCCAAAGCAGCAAATGAATGAAACAATTAATCTTTTATTGATGAAAATGCTTGAGGAAAGAATACAGAGGTGATAGGGACAAGTGTGCAGCAAATCGGCATCACTGGTGAAGCCGACTGGGAGAGTAGACTGATGTTTGTTGGAAGGGCAGTCGCAATGAACAATTAAAATCCAGCAGCGTGGAGCCCCTTCAGTCTGTTTCAACCTGTCAGAACCGAAGTGTGACATCACAGGAAGACAAGGATGTGATTGGGTATTTCTTTCATGTTTTTCTTGATTGGCTAAATGGCTTAAATCAGGAGACAATATTACAGTTGAAGACTGCATTTGGAAAATTATTTTTTAAGCTAGTTAACAGCCAATTAATTAATCAAATAGAATTGAGAGGCTAAGCAGGTGAAGTGATGCAGCTGTAATATGTAGGAACTGCTGGACACCAGTACAATCCAAGATGGCCACATCTGCAGCAAGTGTTAACAGCTTGAGGAACTATGGCTCAGAGCTGGTGAGCAGGAATCTGAGCTGTAGACCCTGTGACACATTAAAGAGGGGGAATGGTTACCTTGTCACTGTTTCAGGACACAACCACCCACTTAGATTAATTATATTAAATTTAATCACGGCCAGGGATAGGAAGATTTGTTTACGAGTGAGACAGATATTGGGATCCTGGGCTGTCTTTTGGAGGAGGCTAAGTCAATGTCCTTGTCCAAGAGACATGGAGTTCTTGCTCCTGATGTTGATGAGGATGCAAGCTGCAAGGAGGATGAGCAAACTGACCAAAGCACTGTGGTCCAATGGCAGGGGAGAGAAGAGAAATGTGGAAGTAATAGGGGATAGCAGACTTAGGGGATGGATTCTGTTCTCTGCAACAAAGTTAGAGTCGAAAGTTATATTTCCTGCCTGGTGCCAAATTAGAAACGTTTCTTCTGGACTGGACAAGAGCTTGAAGTGGAGGGGAAGGATCCATTATTGTGGTCCAAGTAGGTACCAATAATGTAGGTAGATTAAATTATGCAGGTGGTATTCTCAGGATTTTATTACAAAGTTGGTAGTCTCAGGATTTCTAATTGATCCATGTGCAAATTGTGTAGGCTAAGTAAGATTAAAGAACTAAATGCATGGCTCAGAGATAGTTATGCAGGAAATAGGAAGCCATGGGTCACTAGTACATGGGAAAGAGAGCTGTTCCATTGCGGCGGACTTCATTTGAGTCATGCTGGGACCTATGTCCTGACAAATCATATTACTAGGGTTGTAGATAGCACGTCAAACTGATTAATTGAGGTCAGAGGATTCATTTGAAGGAAGATTTTTTTAAAAAATAAGGCATGTGAGTGCAGAGGCCCAGGATAATGAAGGAGCAAACAAGTGTGACAGGAAGGGGGCAGGAAATATAAGCAAAAGAGTACAGCAGATGTTAGAACCACAGTAAGTAATACTGGTAAAATGTCAAAACTTAAGGCTGAAAACAAAATTGCTGGAAATCACAGCAGGTTAGGCAGCATCCATGGAGAGAGAGCAAGCTAACGTTTCAAGTCTTGATAACTCCTTTAGCTTTGAAACATTAGCTTGCTGTCTCTCCATGGATGCTGCCTGACCCACTGTGATTACCAACATTTTTTTTTTGTTTTCAGTACAGATTCCAGCATCTGCAGTAATTTGATCCTAAAACTTAAGGCTCTTTATCTGAATGCATGCAGTGATTATAACAAGATAGATGAGTTGATGGCAGAGGTAGAAATAAATTATTTGATAGCTATTATAGAGACTTGATTGTAGGATAATGAAGATGGCAAACTGAATATTCAAGGGTATTCAATGTTCTGAATAAATATACAAAAAGGAAAAGAAGGTGAAGTAACATTATTAATAAAGGAAGTTTCAGTGCAGTGGTGACTAATGAAATGGCTTGCAATGTGGAATTTGTTTGGGTGGAAACCAGGAATAGCATGGGAAAGAAGCCATGGCTGGGAGTTGTCTATAGTCCCACAGTGAGGCAACTTTTTTTGGGGACAAAAGCATAAAATGGGAAATAATGGAGGCATGTAATAAGGCCACTATAATTGGCATGGGTGATTTAATCTGCATATTGAGTGGATAAATCAGATGGGCAAGAGTAACTAGAAGTCAAATTTTCAGTGTATCTGGGATTGTTTCTTACTGCAGTAAGTTGTAGAACTCAACTGTGGACACTATTTTAGATCTAGTAATATGTAATAAAGTAAGATTATTAGGATATCTCATTTTTAAGGATCCTGTTGGGGATAGTGATCACAATATGGTAGGACGTCATTTTGAGTAGCAACTCTAGTCTTAAGCCAGTATCCTCAAATAAAGGCACTTTCAAGAAATGAGGAGTGCATTGTTGCAGGATGGAGATGCTGGGGAAATGGACTAAGGAGAAGGTTAATAGTTGAGCAGTGGCAGACATTTAAGCAGATGTGTCATACTCTCAGGAAAAATTATTGCAAACCAAAGCGAAGAACTCAATGAGATGGATGAATGACCTGTGGTTAACAGAGGTGCTTAAGGAGAGTATCCAATCAAAATCTAAGCCACAGCAACAGGTGAAAACTAATGATAAGCTGGAGGTTTGGGAAATATTCAAAACTAGCAGTGGATGACTAAAAAACGAATGGAAAGGGACAAAATTGATTCTGAAAGTAAATTGACAAGAAACAAAATCAACAAGAGATTTGATTGAAATATAAAAGCAAAGGAGCAGCTAAAGTGAGTTTGAGACCCATGGTAGATGTGACTGCGAAAATGACAGATAATTTAAATTAAAGTGCTAATGGGAAGGAAATTCTTAAAACAATCTCAGGAGACTAGGTATATGATAAATTAACGGGATTGAAGAGCAACAAGTCACCAAGATCCGTTGACCTGCATCCAAGGGTTTTAAAGAGTCTAGCTGTAATGATAATGGCAGCATTTGTCCAAATATTCCAGAATTTACTGGATTCCAGAAAGTTTCCATTGGATTGTTCAAGGAAATTATAGGCTAGTTAGGCTGACGTGTCAATAGAAAATTGCTGGAGTCCATTATTAAGGAAGAAATAGAAGGACATTTGGAAAAGATTGATGCAATCAAACAGAGTTGACATGGTTTTGTGGGTCTGATAGATGCAGTGCTTTTGAATTTCCAGAAGGCATGCAGAAAGGTGCTACATAAAAGGTATTTAGGTAAAGTATTAGCTTGGATTGAGGATTAGTTAACATTAATCCTCATAAGCCTTCCCACTCATTTTTGTATCATCAGCAAATCTGGATGCATTACACTCTGCCCTCTCCCCCAAAGTTATTAGTATAGGCAGTAAATAATCTAGGATTGATTGTTGTGGCACTTGACTCGTTACATCTTTCCAAACTGAAAAAGACCCATTAATCCTGCCTCTGCGTGTTAACTAGTCCTCAATCCAAGCTAATACTTTACCCAGATACCTTTTATGTAGCACCTTTCTGCATGCCTTCTGGAAATTCAAAAGCACTGCATCTATCAGAGATAACAGTGTAGAGCTGGAGGAACACAGCAGGTCTGGCAGCATCAGAGGAGCAGGAAAGCTGACGTTTCGGGTTGGGACCCTTCTTCAGAACATCTATCTGAAAATGTATCTATCAGCTTGTTTTTAACCAATTCTGCTTATGCCCTCAAAGAACTCGAAGCAAAGTCGTCAAACATGATTTCCTTTCCACAAAACCATGTCAATTCTGTTTGATTGCATCAATCTTTTCCAAATGTCCTTCTATTTCTTCCTTAATAATGGACTCCAGCAATTTTCTATTGACACGTCAGCCTAACTGGCCTATAATTTCCTTGAACAGAGGCATCACATTGGCAGTTTTCCAATCCAATGGAAACTTTCTGGAATCCAGTAAATTCTGGAATATTTGGGCGAATGCTGCCATTATCATTACAGCTTATGTTGAGGATGTAAGGAATCTGCAAGGGGATATAAATAGGTTAAGTAAGTGGACAGGAACCTGGCAGACAGAATTTAATGTAGGAAAGAGTGATGGCCTGCAGTTTGGTAGGAGTAATTAAAACTATTATTTAACTATTGTTGTTACTATAAGATTATTATTTAATTGGAGACACACCCCAAACAAGTGCAGCCCAGAGGGATGTGGGTGTTCTTGTTGGTGTTAGCGGGCAGGTGCAACCAGTAACTAAAAGGGCAAATAGCATTTTGGCCTTCACTGCAGGAGGGTTGGAGTTTTTAATACAGGGAAATCATGTAACAACTGCCAAGGGTGTTGGTGAGGGCATACCTAGTTTTGTTCCCTGTATTAAGAAAGGATACATTTGCTTTGGAGGCAGTTCAAAGGAGATTCATTAGGCTGGTGCCTGGGATGAGGGGGTTGACTTATCAAGAACGGCTAAACAGGTTCGATTTTATTCCTTAGGGTGAATAAAAATGAGGTGTGATCTTGTTGAAAAGCACAAGATTCTGCGAGGGCTTGACAGGGTGGATATTGAGAAGATATTTCCTCTAGTGGGGAAACGCCAACTAAGAGAAATTGTTACAAATAAGTGGGCACTCATTAAACCCGAGATGTGAAGGAATTTCCTCTCCCAGAAGTTAGTGAATGCGTAGAATTCTATACTG